CCCCCCCGCCCTACACGGGTGGACGGGCACCGGCAAAAATTTTGTCAGCAAGATCATCGCAGAGAATATTTACGAGGGTGGTCTGAAGAGTGACTACGTGCACCTGTTTGTGGCCACACTGCACTTCCCTCACGTCTCTAACATCACCCTGTATAAGGCAAGGGCCAAATTTCGGGATCCTTCCTGGATGATGCTGGGTTTGGGGTTTCTTTGTTGGGGAGCGGGATTTGGAAATTCCGTGTTGAAATGACTGAGCCCTGAAAATGCATCAGTTCCCCTTTGAAAAGTGTGGAACTTACAGAGGGTTGGAGATGCAGGGAGCAATTATCCCATCAGAGCTTGTGGTGGTTTCTGAAAACAGGCTCAGTGTGATAGTAAGTGGGGTCGTAGGATTTGAGAGATGGACATAATCAAATCCAGTTGAAAGATCGTCAAATCTAACATGTCTTATAAAAGAGGAAATGTTTCTAGGGAGGCCTGAGTTTGCTTTTACGGTTTAACTCCCTATTTAACAGTCTGGCTTTATTGGCAGGCACACCTGGATTTGAGCCCTAAGGCTCCTTACAGCTGTGTAATTGTGGGAACGTCACAAGACCTCCCTGAGACTCAGGTTCTTCATCTGTCACATGGCAGTTGTGAGGATTTCTTGAGCTCTGTGTGTCAAGTATGTAATGTGATGCCTGGCACATAAGCGTTCAAATCAGTGTTAACTATTGCCTTTTTTAATCCTCACTTGTGCGAACATATTTTTCCCTTTGGCTTGGGGGAGCATCAGGGTCACCGACTGTCCAGGAGTTTCTGGAATGTGGGACTTTCAGTGCTACAACTGAGAAAGTTCCAGGCAAATAGAGATGAGTTAGTCATCCTAGTTAGCATTCTGTCTTCACTGTTTAATAGCTGTGTGACTTTGAGCAAGTTACTTAACCTCTCTACACCTCAGTTTCCTCACCTGTGAAATAGGGAACACAGTAGCAACTACTGTGATGGGTTTTGGAAGGTCACAATAAAACATTGTATGAACAGTGCTTAGAACAGCATCTTACCTGTAGTGAGTGCTCGATACATGTTCTCTGTTGTTGTCTGTAAGTGGAAGAAGCAGAATGGGAAGACCTTGGTTGCTGGAGCCTGCCAGACATGAAGGAATCCTTGTTTAAAAGGTGGTTCGTGGGGCTTCCCTGGTGGCACAGTGGTTGGGAGTCCGCCTGCCGATGCGGGGGACACGGGTTCGTGCCCCGGTCCGGGAGGATCCCACATGCCGCGGAGCGGCTGGGCCCGTGAGCCATGGCCGCTGAGCCTGCGGGTCCGGAGCCTGTGCTCCGCAACGGGAGAGGCCACAACAGTGAGAGGCCCGCGTACCGCAAGAAAAAAAAAAAGGTGGTTCGCTTTGTGGACTCGAGCAAGACACTTCAGCTCCCCTAAGGTTCTCGTTCTGTAAATAGAGGTTAGTCCATACCTACAGAGCAGAGTTACTGCTTAAGTTAAATATGTACCCATGGAACATTGTAACCATGGTCCAAGTAGCCAAGCAAAACGCCAAATCATAAGAAGTCAAGAAGTCAAGTCATTGTAACTTACAGATTTTTCCTCAGAAACAGACAGCTAATTCTTTCTCCTTACATCCAGGAAAGAACTGTATAGAACCATAGTTCAAATTTCTGATGTAAAGAGTCCTTTCTCCTTATCTTGATTGTTTAATATAAGAAGTACCTAAATATGTTCTTAGGGAATGTTCCACTTAAGCAAATTTATTTCAGCAACCTCCAGGCATTGTTCCAGAAACTCAAAAAGAGTGTTGCCTCACCGCACTCATCCCCAAGTGTGTGTGCTCTGGAGTTCTCCTCACTTCCCCCATTGGAAAGTTAGAGCCCCTTCTCCAGGCTGATCTAAGGACTGAATGAGAAAAGAGGTCACTTGGTCTCTGCCTTCTTCCAAGAAGGCTGGTGTACACAGGATACGTATTAACATTGCCATTTTGATGACAAAGGCCCAGCAACTCAGTGACACAGCATCGACGTGACATGTTGCAGGACAAGAATTACAATCAGAGTGTGGGGCCTTGGAATCAGGCAGGGTGAAATTCAGATCTTAGCTCTGTCACATACTAATTTTGTAATCTTGGGCAAATTTTGTAATCTCAGTTGACTGTGCTCCCTGTGCTTCAGTTTCCTCATCTGTACAATGGGTATGATAATGCCCACTATGTGGCGTTGTGGTGAGAAACAAAAGAGCTTATATAAAGTTCTTAGCGCAGTGGGGAGCACACAGTAAGCAGTCTGTAAATGCAGCCTTTGTAGAGGCAGTTGTAGCGTTAATAATGCTCACTCTGGTGGTGTCACTCGCACTTCTGAGCATCTGTATTGGCTCTTCCCCCTTGTCACTCAGGATCAGTTACAGTCGTGGATTCGCGGCAACGTGAGTGCCTGTGCGAGGTCCATCTTCGTATTTGATGAGATGGACAAGATGCATGCTGGCCTCATAGATGCCATCAAGCCTTACCTAGACTATTATGACAACTTGGATGGGGTCTCCTATCAGAAAGCCATCTTCATATTTCTCAGGTAAAGTCGGGGCTGGGACGTGGTTTGAAGAGCTCTGAGCCCCAGCCTGGGGGCTTCGGGGAAAAAACACCAGTCCTTATTCACTAGAATTCTTTTGCAGCAATGCTGGAGCAGAAAGGATCACAGACGTGGCTTTAGATTTCTGGAGAAGTGGAAAGCAGAGGGAAG